AGAACAAGAAACCCCGTAAGCTACTCTGACCTACTCCGATCAAGACGTGGAGGTCAGGTTGGGGAGTCAGATGGGAGATGTGCACCGGAATCCTCTCGGTTCGGATTCATAAGCTCTGCGGACTGAACGTTAGCGGCCCTGACTTCTCTCCGTCTCTGCATCTTCATCTGTGCAGGGGAGCAGTGAGGGGGACGTGGAAGAAGCCCTTCCACGAGACAAACGAGCTGATGCGCGTAAAGTGACCAGCGTGCTGCTGAGCAACTGGGAGAGAGAGCAGGCGAACTCCCGCGCTCCTAACTGGGGTGAGGGTGGCGGGGTTAGGGGGACGAAGGTCACCAGAGGCCTGACCTGGCCCCTTCCTCTACCTCTCATCTCTCTGCTTCCCGTACTCCATGGCGTCCTGTGGGGGGTTTTATCACGGTGATGACGAGTCTGGCCAGGTAAAAATGCTTTACCTTCCCCACGTGGATGCCAGACAAGTCACTAGTCTTAAAAAAGTAAAACAAGTGTTCGGGTAATGAGACCCCAATGCATGTAAACTTTTCCAGTGGGAACTGTAAGGATCTGGGGTATGCATGGCTCCCAAGAGAGAGAGAGGGAGAGAGAGAGAGACAGAGAGAGAGAGAGACAGAGAGAGACAGAGACAGAGACACAGAGACAGACAGAGACAGAGACACAGAGACAGAGAGTGAGACAGAGACACTAGAGAGAGTGAGGTGTGTGTGTGTGTATGTGTGTATCTGGGTGTGTCAGTGTTTATCATGTAGGAGCATCCTAAGGCAGAGGCAGCAACGGGTGGTCATTTCGGAGGTACTGAGTCCTTGCAAGTCCATGGGGGTAGACTGTAAAGCATGATTTGAAAGGGTACTGACGCTGAAACTTCTCCTGGGACCATTCCCCCCTCCCCCCCCCAGGAAGGGACGCATGGCCCTCGTCTTCATAGAGAAGGGAATTGTAACCTAGTGAACACATAGATTGCCACGCTGGAGGGACGGAGTAGTGGGCTTCTGGGAGGTGTAATAGTTAAGGCCGCTATCCCGGCCCGCCTGGCTGCATCCCCTCTCCTGCCCCCCCCCCCCCCATTCCCTAGGAGAAATTCGATCCTTTGAGTTGCAAAGGTTCCTAGGCTTTCCTGTTCAGAAGACAGATGACTTTATAAAGATGCCCCTGCTCTCCAGTGCCTGCGGGGACAAGGCAGGTAATTCACTTTTGAAGGCGATGGGCTAAGACAAAGCATGATTTGGTTTCTATGGCAACCTTCAGGGTAGCTCGCCCTGGGTTTAAGCCCCGACAGCATGGTATGGCTCCCAGAGCCTATAGACTACAAGCTTGTAACGCCAACCCTCCTTGGATTATCAAAGTATATTATGGAACACATAGGGAATAGAAGTCCGGGCGAGTCTCCACTCACAGCCCAGGATCATCGAGACCTTTTGAAGTTTTCCCTCTTCATCAGAGGACAAAAATATGGGCCACTGGCAGGGGGGGGGGGGGGGGAGGGGGTAGGGCCCTGCACCAAAGACAAACATTTGCACTTGGTTAAAAAAACAATACTTGGGATGGAAATAAGAGCCTCACTGGACCACATGTTCAGGCGAGACCTTGCTACATGTCAGACCTCTCTTCCCCAAAGAGAATGTGAGAGGTGGGTTGGAGGTGGGGGCAGGATGGAGTGTCTACTGTTCAGACACTGGCCCGAGGAAAGTGGGTGAACAGAGAGTGACACCTTTCTAATAGCAATAAAAAAAGAATTGCAGGAAGAAAAGAAAAAAGAGAAAGGAAAGAAGCGGGAGAAGAGACCTTCCACTGCAGGCTAGCAGGGCGGGGTGGTGAGCCAGGAGGTGGCTGGCTGCAGCAATGCTAGCACCCGGGAGGGGGGGCGTTGATGTTGGAGGTGCCGTGTTAAAACTGAAGGCTCTCAGAACTTCTTTCTGTTCGTCCCCCCTCCATCTGATCAGTTTAAGAGACACAAGTCTACTTAGAAAATGAAAAGGTGTGTGTGTGTGTATGCGCGCGTGCACGCATGTGTACATGCAGTGTGATTCCCTGCCCCCAAGAAAATCTGAAGATTGCATCTAAAGAGCAGCTGGCCTGGTCTGAGGAAGCTGGGGAACCCGGAGACCCCCCTAAACTCCCTCAAGCTCCCAAGCCCACTCAGCACGACTCGGAAAACTCATGGTCTTTTCCCTGCTCTGGGAAGCCATGCTATTTTCCTCTGGAATCTTCTAGAACTCCTCTGAGCGACCCATCCCTGGCGACCCTCCTTCCACTCCTTGGCCCTTCTCCACCTTTCTCTGCTCTTCCTGGGTTTCATGAGTTTCCTCTTGTCTCGAGTCAGATACGTATTGACTTCTGCAAAACTTCCCGGCCATTCTCGGAGAATGGATTGACTGATGTTGGGTGGAGAAGGAGATTTAGCGATGTCAGCTGGTAGTAAACACCTCAGCTTGGTGGGGATTAATAGGAAAATCACGAATAAAAATCATTGGGGTTTGATAGGGGATTTTCCTCTCCGACAGTTTAAGATTTCTTTTGATACCCTCTTCCCTTCAACCCCTCCCTAAACGGCTGAAGGTCATTAGGAGAATCTGTTATCCATTTCATATACTTAGAACAGACAAAAGACAGAACTCCTCAACCTTCTGCAGTCCACAGGGCCCCTGGATACAACATTGGTCATGCCTGTATCTTTCCACAGGCAGGACTTTCTTTTAATGCCTCCTACTTAATTCTCGGTTTCCTTTTCAAAATTAGAGAGTGGCTAGATTAGAACTTCACTTAGGCAGTAAAGAACTTTATATATATACATGAGGCTTGGACTCAAGGTCCGAGCACTGTCCCTGAGTACTTTTGCTCAAGGCGAGCACTCTATCACTTGGAGCTACAGCTCCACTTCCGGTTTTTCAGTGGTTCATTGGAGATAAAGAGTCTCATGGGGACTTTCCTGCCCTGGCTGGCTTTGAACTGTGATCCTTAGATCTCAGCCTCCTGTGTAGCTGGGATGACAGGTGTGAGCCACTAGTTCCTGGCTGAGGGGCATATTTTAGATACAAAAGAGTAATGTATTACAAGAGATAAATGAAAGGGATTTAAGCCTTCCACAAAGAAATGACTGGATGCAAAGTGCTGTCAGCTCAGGGGCATGGCTGAATGAAAACTTGTTAAAAAAAGAAAAAGAGAAATTAACTACATGAAATCTCACTGGAGCTCAGTGAAACGTGGCTGTTTAAAACTCGATAAACAAGCAAAAAAAATTAAACGTACTGCTAATATAACGAGTGAAACATCCCTCTGGGATAGAGCATTGAATTACCATGTGATTTTTCCCCCCTCTTGTGCATTTTGATGGTCTCAGGGAGAAGTCTGACTTTGAACTGAAATTCTGCTTAGCTGATGACAGCTTCCACGCCTGTCCAGGGGTCTATGGGGCCTCGAACCCCAGCATGAGGGGTGTGGGTGTTGGAGAAAAGCAGTGGGAGGCAGCGGGGCTGGAAAGGCTGGAAGGGCTGGGTGTTTGTGGATGACTGTCGGCCGGGTGGAGCCTCGGATGTACCCGAGTTCACAGGTCAGATAGGTCTGACCTGGTCTCCACCCAGCCATTCAGCAGATGACCCAGACAGATCCATCTCAGAAGTAGTGTGGGGCCTGTGGTCACCGAGGCCCCGGGCTCTGCTTGCCTTTGTTTCTTGCTTTCCCAAAGACGATTGAGAGCCATAAGATTGGGTCTCAGGATATCACCAACCGGAAGCCAGAGCGGACACAGAGAAACCAGCTCCGTTGGTGTGTGTGGGGTCTCCGGGCAGCCTTGCAGCCTTGTTGGAGCCTGGTCAGCACCATCTTGTTCAGGGCCTCCTCCAGTCCGTCCTCTTCAACAGCCGCCTGTGGGTCCATGGGAAGCTCTTGGTGGTGACTTCTTTCTAATCTGGTCTTGAGGCCTCTTTGCTGAGAGTAGCCATGAGCTCAAGCCAGGCTCCAAGAGAGCGAGATTGTGAGATTTCTCTGGCCCTGCCTAGCCTTGGAATTTGCTCAACCTAAATGTTAGGCCCATTAAGATTTAGGGAAGAAGAGAACCTCACGGAATCCCTCCCGCACCTCTCTTCCCCTTCTGCCTCTCTCACCCTTTCTGCCCCCTCTCCTCTCTCTCTCTCCCTCTTGATTTCCTCCTGTCTCTTTCCCTCCCCCTCCTCTTTCTTCCTACTTCCCCCCTCCCTTCCTTCCTCCTTTCCTCTCCCTCTCTCCTTTTCCACTTTCCCTGCTCCCCAAGGTATTGTCTTTCCCTAGGAATAATGCATATCTATCTATCTATCTATCTATCTATCTATCTATCTATCTATCTATCTATCTATCTATATGTATATATAACCACACACTTCTGATTGTAAATTTCCTAAAATCAAACATACTGTTTTACTGAACCACAGCTTAGTACAACCCCCAAACAAACCCACTAGTAGCTGATCTCATTCCTGTTTCACTCTGCCTCACGGCTGCCTTTTAAAAGCAAAGGCAAAAACCCTGTTCACTCCCAGGATCTAAGTTACAATTATATGTTGTACTTGGGTATCATAGCTTTTTGTCTACCTTTAGTCCCAACTCTTAGAGGAATTTCTTTTTCTTTTTGGCCTTTTATGATCTCGACATTTCTGAAGAGTGTAGGTCAGATATTTTATTGCGTGCCCTTTGTGTGGGGTTGGCTGAGTTTCTGCCTGATTTTTATTAAGGTGATATGTTTTGGGCAAGAGTACTATTACAGAAGTGAAGCTGTATCTTTCTTGGTGTGTTATTTCAGGGTGTACGTTTCACCTATTGCTTTTTTTCCCATTGCGGTTGATGTCGACGTCAATCACTCGGTGAAGGTGGCACCAGCCGGTTTTAGACACCGAAGAGTTCCTGCTCCTGTTATAATTAGCGACAGTGGGAGTCACACAGGCAGTTCTGGGATGGGTGCCCCCAGGAGACCCTGTGATTGACGGCACCTCTTCCCCTTGTCTTTATAACAGAGTCCAACAGCCGCCGGGCGGTGAACAGAGGCTACGTGGCCAGCTTGCTCAGGCTGCATCAGGACTGGCACAGCCATGACACGGACCACACCTACGTGACGATCCGCCGGGGACTCCTGCTCTGCCTCAAGCACATCGCCACGCTTCGGTCAGGCCGAGAGGCCTTCCTGGCGGCCCAGGGCCTGGAGACCCTCCTCGGCATGGCACAGGTACACAGCCCGGACGTGCAGAGAGCTCTCTGCAGTGAACTGGTGACATGATCGTGCTGGACACAGACCTCAGTACGGTTCTCCCCGAGTATTATTATGTCATGTGCTCTGGGTTCAAATCCTTCTTCCTTCATTGGCTCCTGAGCATTTTCCTTTGTTTATTCATGGCGTGCAAGATGTGGTAGCAGTTTTGTTTCTGTTTTTATCTTGTTGGCCATGGGACTTGAACTCAGGCCCTGGGCCCTATCCTTGAGCTCTTTGCGCTCAAGGCGAGCGCTCTACCACTTTGAGATGCGGCGCCACTTCCAGTCTTCTGGTGGTTTCGTAGGAGGTAACAGTCTCACGGACTTTCCTGTCTGGGCTGGCTTTGAACCTCAATCCTCAGGTCTCAGCCTCCTGAGCTGCTAGAATTGCAGTCGTGAGCCACCGGTATCTGGCCTGGATAGTGTTTCTTAATCCTCGACAGGGCACTCATGCGCAGTTTCCCTGTCGACTGGGACCTGATGGAGATGTCACCTGGTTTCTCCAAGTGCCACGTTGCTTTTTCTAAAACGGTGGGAACAGAACATTTAGGCTGCTGTGAGGACTAAATAAGCTCATGAGCTCAGAAGAGTCCCTGGCATATTTTATCTGTGTTTTGAGTAGGAGAACTCATTGGAATAATTAGTGCTGGAATTAATAATTAGCACGGGAATCCCGTGGCGAACAGAACAGACTCCTGGTCTTACAGGGTAAACTTAATAGCGGGAGACAGGTGGGACAGATGTTAAAAAGCTGAGAATCAGCCAGGCGTCAGTGGCTCACACCTATCATCCTAGCGACTCAGGAGGCTGAGATCTGAGGATCACTGTTTGAAGCCAGACTGGAAAGTCTGTGAGACTCTTATCTCCAATGAGCCACCAGAAAACCAGAAGTGGTGCTGTGGCTTAAAGTGGTAGAGTGCTAGCAGAAAGGAAGAAAGATAGAAAGGGAGGAAGGAAGGAGGGAAGGAAGGAAGGAAGAAAAAGAAAGAAAGAAAGAAAAGAGAGAAAGAAAAGAGAGAAAAGCAAAGAATCCAACCAGGAAGCCATTCCCTTTTGTTCTGTGAGATCAGCAAGCCGGGGCACTCTGGTAGGTGGAGGGAAAGGGTGAGCTTTTATTCTCCAAGCAGGTGACACCTGAGCTAAGATACGAGGTGCTGGAGAGCCGGTCAGGTCACGTGCAGGGGAAGAGAATACCAGGTAGAGGAAGTCACCCCGGTCCAGGCTGGTACTTACCTGTTTTCTGCTGGGAGATGTGGTCCAGGGTTACCTGGATTTCAACCCAAAATGAATTCCTTAATTACATCTGCAAACCCAGTTTTTCTTTGCTCTGGGCCGATGTTGAGGGAGCGCAATGCTATGGGTTCAGGGACCCGGGTGCTGTCTAATTTAGATGCATGAGAGTCGCTTACTGTTTCCTTCTTGTTTCACATTTGACCCTTTTCCTTTATGTTGTCCCCGCCGTATAACCAAAGACTAAAGCAATAGTTCCATCAGCTCAAATACACGTTTGCTAATTTAGGCAGCGACTCCCATGACACAGGGTGATGGAGGAACAAGGTCCACCCCTCTTTTCCCCAGATATCACGGACGATGCCTTGGCTTAGGTGCAGCATTCCTTAAAGTTACCTTAAGCCTGTTTTCAGACCAAATCCATTCCAGGGTATACGCAAGGAATGAGAAATAAAGTCCAGATCGGCCAGAAGACCAGAACGTTCCAAGGGCACATTCTACATCGAAGCGGTCGCCTGCCCGCTTAGGCTGAGCGGCATTTGTGAACTCAGATCCCGTTATGGGGAGTGGGGTCTGTCTGCAAGACTCCAGCGTCTGTCTCTGTCCTCCCTTTGCTCAGCGCTGCCTGGACCAGGAAAGCGCGGAGCCTGCCGTCTCCGCCATGCTCCAGACCCTCCGGCAGGGCCATCCCAGGAGCCCGCTCCCCCTGCTCACCGCCAAGAGTGCCTACGCCTTCCCAGACACCAGCGCCACCCCAGAGCCGCCACACGCCCTCACTGAAGGTAGCGTAAGTAAGCAGCCGTGGCTCTGGAGTGGGCACCTTCTGCATAGCAGAAGAAGGCGAATTGTTTCATAGGACAATTGTGATCATCTAATAAGCTCATGCTATTATATATATGCGTATATATAATATGTATATACGTATGCGTATATTATGTATATATGTATACATATATTGTATGTATGTACATATTATATACACACAATGTACATATTGTATATATGTACCATATACATACATACAATATATACACATTTACACATGCATAGATAATATATATACATGTAATATGTACATATGAACATATACACATTATACATATAGTATGTATTCTATACATACACATACACATATGTTCATTATATATATATATATATATAATTTGTCGCATAAACACAGTGAGAAAGCATTCAGCTCACCTATTTTAATTATTAACGGTCGCCATTTTCCCTAGTCGCTGTCAAATACCTGTGTAAGTCATCTCAGCTAATTAAGAAAAAAAAAAAAAACCCTAGCTACAATTCTATGATCAAAGTCTCTTCACGGTACTGACTGGTGGTGGAATCTAATTTGCCCTAAGGATGACATTAAAATAAAACTCTGGCTGCCTGTCGCCCCATGTGACTCATATTAGGGTGCTGGGAAGGATGTCAACTTAATCGCCAGAAAGATCTTCCAGTGAAAACACTCCAGAGGGCTTTTTTTTTTTTCTTTCCCAGCCCTGTTTTCCCAAAGTGGCACAGATCGTCCACATGTGGAATTTTCATCCCCAGGGGAGTGAATGCTATCAAAAGTCACGGGATGAAGTTTGTTGAAACGCATTCCTTCATGTAAACATGAGGGATAGAGCCAGGGCAACATTTAACTTCAAACAACTTTGGCAGTGCATTGTTGCCTAAATACCTCAAAGTTGGGGCTGGGAGATGGAAAAGCCATTTTATCCTGCAATCGTTTGGGGCTCAATGTGGGACCACATTCTCCGCCGCGTACCGCGTTCACCGGCAAACCCGGAGTATGCTGGAACCTGATGCACCCTTGTGTGACCTGGGTCTCAATCCCAGATAACAAGATGTCTTCGTTCATTTTTCACCTCCTTTTTCTTTTCCCCCACCCAGAGGATTTTGAAGACAACAGTGATGAGGAGGTGGACAAAGACTCGGAATCTGATCCCGCAAAAGAGGAGGTAGGTGCCCCAGCCCTTGCTTGTAACCTCCCCCCCCCCTTCACACCACGCAAAGGAAACACAGCACTTCCTCCGATGGCTGGAGCTCAGGCAAGTCCTTCAATCTGAAGGGCTTCCTTCGACTGGGCTCCCTTGCTGCCCACTCCACAGACAAGTGATACGCAGGGTGGAATGGGACCAGTGTTATTGATTGCCCACCTGGATGGATCTAGCTTGAGATCTCATCTTAAAATCAAGAGTTATTGATCACGAAGACATTAATATTCCATGAGGAGGAGCCCTACCAAGTCACTGCAGGCTTCGGGTTAGTTTGTTCAATAAGGGCATGATGAGAGAATGGAAATTTTTTTTCCTATGAAAGTCTCTACTAAGACCACCCCTCTCTTCCTACATGGCTCTTCTTGTCTGCCCCTTGGGCACATGGCTGCAGTGTTGCACACTCCTGTTTGGGTCTGTGTGAACCGACCTTGCAACGTGTGCCACCCTGGCCAACGGAGGCTGCTTCTGGTCCTGGTTCCTTAATGACCTACGCACCTCTGCTCTTTGCCCCTACATACCGGTGGCATCTGCCCCCCTGCCCCTCAGACGTGAACCACACGGGTCTTGAGGGACTGTCAGAATCGCCTCTGGCTGAGAACCACTGTGCAGAAATAAATGGCCAGCTGCCTGTGAGTTATAATTCTGTCTCCCTTTTCTGTCACCATGCACATTTCTTCAAGTTACAGCTCATTAATGCCATGGCCTGTCCAATGAGACTGAGCAGCAAATACTACCTTTTAGGATGTTCCTGGGATGAAACCTGACTTTAAAAATGATTTCCTTCCGTGTTCTTTTCTCTCTCCCTCCATTCCTTTCTGGGGAGAAAGAGACTTCCGGCTTTCTGACTGTGATTATCGCTCACCTTGCTGATGGTCCTGGTAGACATTTAGGGGTTATCACTAAGCCCTGTCTCTGGCTCAGAGTGCTATCGACAGTCTGGTGTTCCCATGGTTTTGTTGATAAATAGAATCATTTCTGAAGTCATCAGGAGCAAATTGGTTCTTCGCTGTGACTTGGCCCGAGCAGGCCTCTGAGTACGTGTGGAGTTATTTGAATAACACTGGGCTGCTGTAGTCATTTGTCAATGCCACCTTCCCTTCCAGGCCCGCTTGCTCTCCGATAACCGAGCGTCTGATGCACTGCCGCGCGCCTCTTGTATCTGATGTGGAGGCACGAGGCGTGTGACTGCCTGACTTCACACACAGCCTGGGAGACAGGGCCCTAAAGAAAAGCGTAACACACCCACCGGGGAAAGCAGTGCATGAGCACGTGGGAAGCGCAGAGCCTGGGAACTCTCTCCAAAGCCTGCGTGCCAGAGCACAGGGGAGAAGTCAGTGTGGGCCTGGGCGGCAGAGCAGCATCAGAATCGGGGCCAGGCTGGGGACCACGGGAATGGAGGGACCTGTGGCCCATCAAAATACTTTGCCTCAGCGAATCCTGAGCCCAGGAATATCTCTGTTATATTCACAGAAGGGACGAAGGCTTTACCTTGTGCTATTCTCATTTGGAACAGCAACAACAACAATAACAACAAAACACCAAAAACTCCCACAAAACAACACCCAAACCCAGCCAATGCTTAGGACCACACACTGAGCAAGAATGAGAAATGGGAACTTTTCGCTTCAAAAGGGTCTTGGAGCCAGGTGCCGTAACTCACGCCTGTAATCCTAGCACCGAGATCCCAAAGGCTGAGATCTGAGGATTGTGGTTCAAAGCCAGCCCGGGCAGGAAAGTCCATGAGGCTCTTATCTCCAGTGAACCAGCAGAAAACCAGAAGTGGTGCTGTGGCTCAAAGTGGTAGAGCACCAGCCTTGAGCTGAAAGGCTCAGAGACAGTGCCCAGGCCCTGAGTTCAAGCCCCACAACTGACAAAAACAGAGGTGTGTGTCTTGGGATGTTGGCTACTGTGATTTATTTGGAAGCCATCAAAGTCAACATAAAAAGAGAGGGAGTCACAACCGATAGCACGCAGACATGGGGTTTCAATAGACTGAAGAAGGAGAAATCTGCCTAGCAAGTGTCAGGTCCCGAGTTCAAACCTCGGTATTGCCTAAAAATAAACACAATGAAATAATAAGAACAAGGATACACAGAGTGCCTTCAAGTTTTCCTTTAACTTTCCCATTACTTTAAAATTTGTTCTTTTTTTCAAATGCTTTTTTTTTTTTTGGATAGAGGTGCTACGTTAATTTCTTGGGGGCAGAAAATGCTATAAAGAAACAAAGGACATCATTTATTTATTAGTTTATTTCCAGTCCTGGGTCTTGAACTCAGGGTCTAGGCATTGTCCTTGAGCTTCATTTTGCTCAAGGCTAGCGCTCTACCACTTCAAGCCACAGCACCATTTCCAGTTTTCTGGTGGTTCATCGGAGATAAGACTCTCATGGACTCTCCTGCCTGGGGTTGGCTTTGAACTGGGATCCTCGCATCTCAGCCTCCTGAGTAGCTAGGATTTACAGGCCTGGGCAGTACCCAGCTTTCACATTTGTTTGACTTAAGCCTCCTGGATAATCAGGTTTTCTTTTAACTAACCAAATACACTTCTAAACATACATTTGAGTTTTCTTCCCTACCTGGTCAGGAAAACTTGATGTAGGATTATGGGAAAATGGATGGTTGGATTCTCCTTATCGTTTCTCTCAAACTTTATAACCTTTGAAAAGCATACCAGCATTTCAAGGTCATGATCACCATTATTACACAATGATAATTATTACACAATGATAAAACCGAGTGAGCTCTTACATGCACAGAGAGAGGAAGACATAACGGGAAGGCAGAGTATTTCCAGCAGTTTCTCTCCTGCCGTTTCCCAGATCTCATCTCCTGTCCTCCTCCTCTTGTCTTCTATGCTGCATCCTCCAGCATATTTCTATCATCAAACGTCACCTGTTCCTTCCTCTAGCATTCCTCTAAACACACTTTTGGGCAGAGCTGGCTCTCCTTCTGTCTCTTTAGCTCTGTTATACCTGCACCTGCGTTACTTCCTTCACGGGGCTTCGGCAGACTGCCCCTGTTATTAGCAGCGTCTCACATCTCAGTCTCAATGCCGATCACTCCCATGTCCATCATTTGAAGGGCATTTGCCACTGTGGGAAAGGACCTAATGACCTTGTTCTCGTGTTTATCCTCCTTTAAGGAGCCTGGACCACTCTCTGTCCCAGAGGCATGGATTCTTCTTCTGTCGCTCGAAGCATACTTGCTCACTGTAGGTGCTCAGTAAATGCCCACCGCAGCGGGGTGGGGAGGGAGGAAACAGCTGAGTGAATGGGAAAGACACTTACACACGGAGCTGAGAATTTCTTTCATACTACGCTCTGCTGTGTACGTCGTCTGGCTTATTTGGACCAAGGCATTATGCATTTCTGAGGAGACCTAAATGCTGTGAATAGATTTTTTAAAGTCTTCTTCCTTTTTATTTCAAAACATACAGTCTGGTGCGTTCACCTCCCTATCGGCCAGGCTTGCGCTGGAGCCTGATGCAGGGCCGGGGAAATCTGTTCTAAGGCGCTGTGCATCTTGCCTGGCTGCTGCTCAGGGTGGATTTCGTGGTGGTAACCTCTGACTCTCCCACCGCAGGATGACGACTTAGAAACGGATGTGGACAAGCTGAGTGCCAAGCCTGGTCTAGACCGACCCGAAGAGGAGCTGGCACAGTACCAGCACATGTGTCCGGAGCTCTCCTGTAGCTTTGAGGTAGGATGGGGGCCGCAGAGGGTGTCCAGAGGAGACACGCCCGCGCTCATCATGAGCAGTCTGCCCCTGAGCGCTGCGGAGGGGAAAGCAAGAGCGCTATGGAGGATGTGTGCAAGAGGCTTACCTTCTGCCTCCCTAGAGCTGGGCTGGGATCCAGCACGGATGGAATCCCTCCTGATGGTAGCCATCCTGAGGCTAGACTTCGTCCGCCTTCTTCCCCCTTCTCTCCCTCCCCCTTCCCTTCCATCTCCCCCCTTCTCCCCATCCTTCTCTTCTATGACTACTGGTCAATACTGCTTGATTCATGCCCCACGCCCGCTCCTTCCCCATTCACCTCATTCTAGGACTTGAACTCAGGGACTCATACTCTTGCTTAGCTTTTTTGTTGTTTTTGGCTCACTTCTGGTGTTTTACCACTTGAGCCATGCCTCCCACTCTCACATTTTGCAGGTCAGTTGGAAAGAGAGGCTCTCAGGCTTTTCTGCCTGGCCTGGCTTCAGAACTAGATGATAAGATTTCGGCTTCCTGAGTAGCTAGGATGATAGATGTGATCCACAAGTAAGCGAGGTCAGCCTTTCTGTTTTACTTCTTTTTTTTTTTTTCCTGACACAGAATCTCACTAATGTTGCCCGGGCTGGTCTGGAACTCACAGTCTTCCTACCTGTGTTTCCCAAGTAGCTGGGATTATAGGTGTTCACCACCATGCCCAGGTTAGGATGTCCTTATTATCGGAGACAAACATGAGTAGCTTAGACCTGGTGATGTTCAGTCAGTGCCTAGAGGCTGCTGCGGCCATCACAATTACAGAGCTGCTTAAAAACAGAACTCTTTCATTTTCTTATGAGGCTTCGGAAATGATGAGTGTGACCATATCACAGGATATAGCTAGTCAGGAAGAGAGGAGTTAGTTTCTTCCACTTCATTCTAGAAGGCAGAAATGGATCCATGGTGAAAACTTTCAGTCAAGGCAATTTCACTTTGGTGTCAAGGAAGATAGTGTCCCCTCCTCCTCTTCCTCCTCCTCCTCTTCCTCTTCCTTTTCCTCCTCCTCCTCCTCCTCTTCCTCCTCCTCCTCTCCTCTTCTTCTTCTTCCTCCTAGTCTTCTATAATCAAAATTATCCTCAGATTTAAAAAACAAACAAACACGTTACCTTTGTGCACAGTAAGAAGCTCCACTGTGAGTTTTGGGAGGACCTGGAGAATGGCTCAGCCTGGTGCCAGCTTAGTGCGGGTTGCAGAAGGCACACATTGCATAGAATGGCTCTAGGCTCAGCCACATCCCCTTCCACGCATGAGCCCGTAGGTGAGTCTGCGTTGGTTGACTCCAGCAACAGCTTCCCAGTTCAGAGGACTGAGGCTGAGCTTCATGGCCAGAGAGTTGGGGCAGGGATAGAATTGCATTTCCTACCTGGAAGGAAACACTGATGTACCATGTTCTCCTTTTAAACCGGAAGGAACTGCAGTCCCCATTGGGATATGATTTGAACCTGGAAGACACCCAGCATGCCAATCACCGCCACATTCCCACGGTCACCTTCCCGGGACAGCGTTGCTTCAACAAAGACCACAGCTCGTGGGGGCCAGAAAGAACAAATCCGGCCTCGGCCTCCCTCCTGCGCAGGGTGAAGACGGGGAGATCCTTCAAAAGAAGGCCTTCAGTGAATGCACCCCCAAACACGCAGACCAGCAGCACTGGGACAGAAGATCCTTCCGGAAATGATGCCTCCGGCATCCAGGCCTTCCCAGAAGAGGATGCTTGGGACAGAGAAGCTATTTCTTGTCCAAGGATACGTGACTTCTCCAATTCCACCAAGCCTGGAGAAACTGCTGGAGTCATGGAACAGCTTCTGCGTGCACACCACAAGCAAATCCCTTTCCATGACCCTCGTGTTTACATGGCCAAAGCCCAAAGAACCAGGTCTGCAGTGGACTTCGAGATGGTGGCCTTCCCTGACCTCTGGGGACATTGCCCGCCTTCCTGTGCCCAGCCCATGCTGGAGCGCAGACGGGGCATCCAAAGGTGATGGTACTACTCTCCTATGATAGAAATACGTGTGTGTGTGTGTGTGTGTGTCTGTACACACGTACATACACAGATGTAATTATATATTATATAATACACATATAATAGCTTATATTTTATATATAGCACATCTAATATATAACATAGTACAATGCACATTATGTATTATATATAGTATTTTAGGTATAAACATAGAAGGCATTTATATATAATTATATGTGATATATGTAACATAATTAAATACATAATGTATTTACCTTATATATAATTATATATGTTATATGTAATCTCTTGTGATACATATAGACAAATATATACATATGTATATTTATTTTATGTATGTATATATCATATATATCTTTATAATATATACAGTATATAAGTATATTTACTTTATATATGTATATATCATATATATCTTTATAATATATACAGTATATAAGTATATTTACTTTATATATGTATATATCATATCTTTGTATAATGTATATGCCGTGTATATATTATATATGCATATATTACATATTATGTGTGGCTTGTTTAGACAGTTCTGCTGTATGTGTAGGAAAGTAGCATTGATGAGATGCATTTTCCAGGCCTTTTGGAAACTTCTGTCCACCCTGCAATCTTGCCTCCCTGCTGTGCCATTGTGGAATCCAGTATAGGGTTGCAGTAGGCACACAGCAGGCTCCTGACAAAGGAATCCTTCATTGATTCTAATACAGCCCCTTGCCCTGCCTTCTGCACACCACAGCAGGGTCTCACCGGCTTCACCTGGACTCTTCTGGAACTCAACCATCCTCTGCCTCTGCCTCCCTAGTGGGGAGGATTACAGGCATGCACCCCCTTGCCCCTGTTAGGTTGTATTTATTGTCAAAGACAAAACTGGACACCTTACACCTGTGTTGTTAATCAAGGTCATCTTGTGAGGTTTACCAGAGGGAAGGTTCCCGAATGAAAATTAACAAACTGGTCATCTAGGATTTCTTTCCTTATCTACTACAAATGGCTGTCTGCTTTTTTGCCTGATAGAGAGGAAATGGCTCCTGGACCCTGGCATGGTTTGGAAACTAGATTTGCTATGTCACTGAGGAAAGCACAGGAAGAGACACATTATCCAGGGTAGAAACTCTGGATGACAGATGATCCCCCAGAATATGGGAAAGAGCTTTGTATTTGGCTCACCATAACGGGATTCCGATGAATTCTAACAAAGTCAAAGGGAAAAAAAGTATCCCATAGGGGGTAAGGAAAACAGATGAGTAGGCACATACTTGCCAATGGTTCAACGTGCAGACCAAAAAGTCTCATTAATGTATATTCCACGTCATCAGCAAGTTGTTTTGATGCTAGGTCCCCAAACCTGCTCCTACTGCGGGCTTGGCTGACTTTCCCAACTGCACATTATCCACCAGGCTTAGCTTCCCGAGAACAGGCTCTAGAGTGGCGCCATCTTACCCCGTATGTAGCCCCTCCCTCCCAATCCAGGCTCATGCCTTTCCTCTCCTGACCCATGCCAATGATCAGAAATGGAAGGAAGGAAATGAAAGACCTTCTGAGCATGCTCCCTACTTCTTCCTGAAATTCCCAGATACCGTTGTTTCTCATACAGTCTCATCTTTGGAGCAGAGCGAGCCCAAAGAATATGCACAGTACAAGAGTACAGAGGCCTACTGTAGTGTCCCATGTCCCGTGGATTCTAGTAGTCTTACTTAGAGCCATCTCGGTGCAAGGGACTCTTCTTCATGTAGCCGAAGATGCCCTTGACGTGACACTCAAGGACAAAAGCAGTGCTCGAGCAAACAATCCCCTAAAATGTAAGACCTTCCCTTTCTCAGTACCTACCACTTGGTGTAGTTCTATTTTCCACAAGAACGTGGGGGGTGGGGGGAAGAGGGTAGTGGAGGCTGAGATTGGGTAGGAGTCTACCTTCTCTCTTCTTGTCTATTTCTCTGATGGCCCAAGGCCTTCCCTGGGAAGCCCACAGAATGAGCTGAGGAGAGAGTAAGGCCCAGTGCTTATAAATGTTGCACTTTTTCTTTTTCCAGGATCAAGATATTGGAGGATGTCCGGAGGCTCACCCAGCCAAACGACATTATCAACAGAGTCGTCTTCAGTTTGGATGAGCCTTGGTAGGTGGCCTTGAACATTGCCTGGATGTTCAAGAATTCACCAACGTGAATGCTGCCAGGACTGGACTGTTCCCTATTGCTAATCCATTACGTATTTCTAAAATCAGTCTGATGACCGCAGGTTTAAGGGCTAGGAGAATTGTCAAGTCATGCCCACGCCTACCTATGGGATCTATTCACACATGCTCATATTTCATTCTAGGACTTTGCAAGACACCACACCCGGTTGCTTAAGGTTCTTCTCCAAGTTTGAGTCAGGAAATCTTCGCAAAGCTATCCAAGTGCGTGAGTAAGTAAGGAAAAAACTCAGCCTCGCAGGAGGGAGGGCGGATTGCCCGCTTCTCTCTTCCCCAGCCCATGGGCGGTGACTTCACTCAGAGGTTTGCGATCTGTCACAGCGAGGGGGCCTGACAGCAGGAAAATTTGCAAGCCCTGAAGTTGGAGGGTTTTCCTCTCCAGGAATCATTAGATTAACATGACTCCCGGATGGAGGTCGCGGCAAGGGGAACTGTGGACCAGAAGCACAAACGTGCCTCCTGGACCTTCCCAGCGGTGGCTCCGTGGGTGTTGTGGTACCAAGGCCACATGCATTGGCTCTGGTCTCTGCACCTCTCCAGGTGCTGGCTGTGTAGCTGAGACCACTCCTGGGCTCTCTCTCTGTCGTTCGGTCTAAGGAATACACAGTACCATCCCCATCCTAGCAAAGCCCTTTCCGTGAGCTCTGACTCAAACAAAAGGATCTCATGGGCCCGCGAGCTCCGGTCTTAGCTCTGTACTCTAGAACCAGAGACGCACATGGATAGGGTCCCACCGACTTCGAATGCTTTCCAGGTAGCCCTTCCATCTTGCGTGTCCCTCTGCAGGTTCGAGTACGACCTGCTGACCAATGCTGACGTGAACAGCTCTGAGCACCAGCAGTGGTTCTACTTCAGGGTGAGCGGCATGAGGGCGGCGGTGCCTTACCGCTTCAACATCATCAATGGCGAGAAGCTCAACAGCCAGTTCAATTATGGTAGGTACTCTTGGCGAGGGGGGCAGGGGGAGGGGGAGGGGGGAGACGGACCTGGAGCTTTCTGGGATAATACTAGGAATCATGTCTCCTTTCGACTTGGTTCTGTCCCTATCAGAAGGTCTTCTTGGTTTTTCCAGAAGATTGACACACTTAGATGGCCACTATGGTAAGAGAGTGGCCAAACCATGGCAGAGTTACCGCAGAGGGGAGCCAGGAAGTCCCCGCTCTGCCATGGTCACAGTATATGTTAAGCTCCTAGCGTTTTCTCATTCCCTTGCCATCCCTTGATCTTTGGGGGTGGAGTTGGTCAAGAAATTCACTCTCCAGGGTTTCTGCTCCCACGGGAGCTTCGCGCCTATTCACGAGACCGCAGAGAAGCAAAGTCCCACAGGACAGCAGCTCTGCTTCACACGCTCTGAACACTGGAGAAAAACGTAACTTCTCCTAAATACCCCAATCCGTTTCTCTGGGACAAAGGCAGGGTGTGGACGTTCCCTCTCTGGAGGTCTTAAGGGAGAATCCTGACCGCCCCCCACCATCCACAGTCATTCTGTGGCTCACAACCTTCCCTCCAGCTATTCAAAATCAGTAGGATAGAAGCTTCAAACCTCCCTCTCCCTCGGGGAAGTTGCTGCTGCTGCTTCACTCCGCCTCCTTGTGCCCGGCTTACTCAGAAGGACCCCCGGGATTGCTTGTAGGGCTCACCAGGATAACTTTTGCTCCACTTCAGGATCCTGAACTGAATCACACCCACAGAGCCTGTTCATTAGTCCCTCACATGGATGACGTCCATGGTTTGCAGGGATTGACATCAGGATGTCCCTTGGGGATGGTTATTCGGCCAGCCCAACTCTTTTTTCCTCGTGGATTAAGCCCTGGTTTGGTTTCATGTAGGGATGCAGCCCACCCTGTACTCTGTGAAGGAAGCGCTCCTCGGCAGAGCCGGATGGATACGGACAGGCGATGAGATCTGTTACTACAAGTGAGTGAGTGCTGCTCACTTCCTTTCCCCCTCCGCTGCCGTTCATTCCGTGTCTCCTCCTTTTCACTATTGATCTTATAAACACCAGCAATCTGTGTTTGCCTGCTTTCTGAGTCCGTCACCCTACCCCGCAGAGGTATGAGCTGACTGTGAGAAATATAGGTTGATTTATGGGGAGAAAAGAAAACACTTTATTTGTAGATGTGCAAACTTTTAGACTTTGCTCTCAGGAGTCAGAACTTGTACAGACTCCCATCTGTGATGTTTGGAAGCTCGTGGTCCCAGGTCCATCCCTGGGACAAGGCCTTGAGATGTTCCAGGCCATTCCTAGACATAGGCTTTGGTCAACCGAAGGGCGAGGGAGTCCCTGTGGGACAAAGATGCTTCACAAACTGGCTTCCACTGCCAGGTCGTTTTGTGCAAATAAACAATAGTAAGAGAAGGGACGGTTACGACAGTCATCTCAAGTCTTCAGTCGGCAGACCCCTGTTCCATCAGTTCATCCTGCAAAGTCGTAATAGGATTTAAAGTCACGAATCATTTTGATGGAAAGTAATGGATGCCACACCTATGAATTGCTTAGGGATGCGTGTTCCTTCAAATACCTACGGGAGGTGTGGGGAAAGGGTAGGCAATGTGTGAAGGGGTAGAATTTGTGTCAGTCACTATTGGTTTATGGTGAGTGTCTTAGACAACCAACAGGCTGGTTCTTATTTGCCTGGGTAATGTCTCATTTTGTCTCATTTTAAGATTATCAGAGGCCCCTCAGAAAACAATTGTCAGCCGTTTTAGGTGGGTATCAATATTAAAATCAAAGGCATACACACGCATACCTCTTAGCTTTGCACACCAGTCCTGAGAGACGAGGAAGATCGAAGGTCTTGTCGCTCTCTTGAGTTGAGGCAGACTCACCACTGAGAGAAGGGTGCACTACCAGATTCAGTGCCCAAGTGACAGATTGCAATCTTCAGGCCTTTTTATTTTTATTTTTTTTGTGGGTTGTGGGGCTTGAACTCAGGGCCTTGGTGCTGCCCTTGAGATCTTTTGTTCTAAGGCTAGCCCTCTACCACTTCCATCCACTTCTGATTTTCTGGAGATAAGAGTCTCATGGACATTCCTGCCCTGGCTGGCTTTGAACCATGATCCTCAGATCTCAGCCTCCTGAGTAGCTAGGATGACAGGCGTGAGCCATGGGCGCCTGGCTAGGCCTTGATGTTTTAAGACACCAATCCACACAAGATCTTCCTATATCCTTTAGGAGAATGGCAACAATGTTACCACTTCAGTTATTTCCCATTCACCTCAATGGCAAGTTACTGTGGAGGCTACTTACCTGAAAACTCTTAGTACTTCCTTTATGTCCGAAAAGATTGAGGTGACGTGAAGAAGCGCACCACCACAAGGAACAAATATGAAAAGCTACATTCGGATCTCAGTAGCTCTGAAAATAGTTCCAGCCCATGGGGTGGAAGATCCACCTTCAGACTGGCTTTAGATCAGGAACTTAGTAGGTCTGGATGTCACATGAAGTTTCAGGTCCTCCTCGGATGGGACGGAGCTCTCTCCCGGGAGGGCTTCCTCTTGGGGTGAGGAGATAAAGTCACAGGGATGAGTTGTCCGCAGACCCACGCATCCAAGAAAAAAACCAAACCAACAACCAAAACCCAGAGCTCTGGCCTCAGGGAAGCCCAGGGTAAGAGTGTTTTAGATTCATTAACAAGACAATTGTTCTGTGATGAACGAACAGAGGGGTAAGATGCAAACAGGGCCTGTGTAATGTAATTCATTTTTTTTGTTCATATGGCAGCCAGAACAACAGGGTGAATGGATAAGATCGCTACATTGTAACGGAGTTTGTTTGACAATTATTCGCCACATTGTGCGAACATATTTCCAAGGCGAAGAAGTCACTAGGTAGTGGCAGTCTTGATTCCCTGCCACGAACCCGAACACGTCTCCCCGACACACAGAGCCGCCTGGCACACCCTGTCTGTCTCCCTTCTCCCGGGTCACCATCACCGGCTAGGTCGACTTTACTACTACCTTTATTTGTTTATTTTTTTTTCTGGCATATGAATTAGGGAGACGTTCACTTCCTCGTTTCCACGCATGGCGCGTGGATGGTTCCATTCCCAGACTCACAGCCACGGTTCAGGGGAGGCCGAGATGTCGCTCTGGGAAGACGTGTGAGCCGTGGTGCCTGGGCATCTCTCCGAGGCTAGGAGAAGGGCCGGGAACGAATGGCTTTGTGGGATCACCCATCAGCTCCAAGGAGCCTCCGGATTGCTTCGAGAGTGTTCTGCCGTCAGTTAGCTATTGTCATCTGTGTCCTTCGCTCTGGGATTCCTGTGCAAATTAGGCCTAAAGAAGTAACCTAGGCATTAATACAGCCAGAGCAAGGGTCATGGATGTATATCACTGCATCTGGGTTGTTAGTGGAGATGGATGGTCTCACACACTTTGTGTCCAAGCTAGCCCTCACGTGTGAACCCCCAGATCTTCATTTTTTTTGAGCAGCTAGGTTACAGGCCTGAGCAGTCACTCTTGGTCTCAACTGGAAGCTTCTAAGTTGAACGTCATAAATCACGAATTAACTGTTTTAAGAGGTTTAATTTAACTTAGAAAATAACACACACACACACACACACACACACACAGACACAGACACACACACATACACACACACAGTTAAGAGTAAATAAGGCCGGAGGTGTGAGGAAATTTCCACTGCGGTCAGCGGGCCTTACCTGTGGGTTGGAAAACCGTTAATGCAGAATTTAATACCTCTCTCACCATCCATCTAGAATAGATGGATAAACCTTGGACAGTTTAATGTCCTTCTTATTGCTCAGATATTTATATATTTCAGGAGATTCCCCCCCCCTCATACTTTTTTCCCCCTATGCACAATTGATTTCCTACCATTGCTGGGGGGAAAAAAAACAGCTCTCTCTTCTATCCTTCATCTCTCCACCCATCTCGAAAAAGATTCTGGAAGACTCTTCTTCCAGAAAATCTCTCAAGATGCAATGCAGATCCGTTTCTTTCTGCCTCTCAGGAAAGTCAGCAGGGACAGGTTTGGAGCGTTGTTTTTAATTTTTTTCTGTGTTATTTACTTTCCGGTGACCGTGCTTCTGCGCCTGACAGGCAGAGCCTCCACCTGTCCACTCCGCCACCCCCTCTCCCACCCCACTTTGGCCTAAAGTAATTACGGTGCTGAAGAGCAGAGCGCGGGAAGCCGTGCACTCAGTTTGGCTGTGAAATGCCCAGCCCTGACCTCTCCTGACATTTGTCCCCACTCCAGAGGAGACGTAACTACTCACAGGAGGATGGGTGTCACCCCAGAACCCTGCCGTCACCCATCCTGCCGCCAGGTCTCAGGAGAGACATTTGGTGCCACATAGAATATTAGCGACACCATGGGCACAGATCTGCCCGGCTGCCCAGCGACTCTGCGTTATTAGACCTTGTGAAGTGAAATGCTGCACCCTTGCTGCAAGCAGTTATACACACTCTGCAGTTGTACACACACACACACACACACACACACACACACAGAGGAAAAGGAGAGACGGTGTGTCTGCAGAGGGATTTGGATTGAGTTCATACAAGTCTCATGGATTGCTCTTCCCTGGGCTGGTCTTGAACTGCAATCCTCAGGTCTCCTAGCTGCTCAGGTGTGAGCCACCAGTGCGCCACCTCATGGAGCTGTGTAAACAGCTGGTTCTACACAGCCCAGGGCATCTTTGTCCCCAGCGATGACAGATCTGAGGCGCACCCATTTTTGCCGGATTTTTCTTTTTGTGTATGGAAGAGAAGAGAGAAAGTTCTTAGGATTGCATTCCTGCTACTCGTGCATGGCATGACCTGGGAGAGGCTCTCTCACCCTTAGATCTCCTGCCTAGAAAATGGAGGATAATCTGGCAGTCTGCCTCATGAAGCTAGCTGTTCAGAATATCCAAAGACACAGGGGAAAAGCTGGACAACTAGGAGCAGGGTCTGGTGAAGGACGTGTTCAATGGATGTCAGTCACCACGAGCAGAGATGAGCAGAGATGCCTTAATGTCGTCCGATGCCACCCTGGCCAGGCCTATGGGTGCTTTCACAAACTCTCATCTGAATTTTTTACATTATTTCTTTTAGACTCAGGAAGTTTGTAAGCAGCCACAATTTATGGAGGATCAAATTTCTTTTTTTTTTTTTTTTGAGGTTCAATTTTTTATTTTTTTATTGTGAAAATACTGTACAGAGGGGTTACAATTACATGGGCAAGATAATGAGTACATTTCTTATCAAGCATTGTAGCCTCCTCTTTGTTTCCCCTTCCCATCCCTTCCCATCCTCCCTCCCACTCCCCCCTCAATCCTCCCGGCTCCCCCCCCCCCCCCCGCACCAAAGTTGTAAAGTTTGTTGTCTACATAACGACTTGTACATCTCATTGTTGCAATGGGTCCACCTGTATCCCTAGCTAAACAATTTGTTTTTCCCCTTCCCCTCCACAAATTATACTGACATCAAATACAGTGAAAGCAGGGGTTATACTGTGGGGGAGGGACATACAAAGCAACAAAGAAATAATCTTATAAATGTGTTAGAAACAATTGCAAGAAAGAAAAAAAATTTTGAGTACATATCTTAGGGTTCATTTCCCTAACATCACCTTATCTGACCTTTTCTGCTTGACTGAGACATATACTAGATATTGCAAATAAGGGAAACCATGGGACCTATGTTTCTTTGGGCCTGGCTTACTTCACTTAATATAATTTTTTCCAAGTCTTCCCATTTCCTAACAAATGAGGCAATGCCATTCTTTCTGATGGAGGCATAGAATTCCATTGTGTATATATACCACATTTTCTTGATCCATTCATCTACTGAGGGGCATCTGGGTTGGTTCTATATCTTAGCTATAGTAAATAGTGCTGCAATAAACATAGTCATGCTGGTAGCTTTAGTGTGGTCTTGTTTGTGATCATTTGGGTAAATGCCCAAAAGTGGGATTGCTGGGTCATAGGGGAGCTCTATGTGGAGTCTTTTGAGGAACCTCCATACTACTTTCCAAAGTGGTTGAACAAGTTTACACTCCCACCAACAATGCAGTAAGGTTCCCTTCTGTCCACATCCCCTCCAGCATCTGTTGTTATTAGAGTTCTTGATTATAGCCATTCTAACTGGGGTGAGGTGGTATCTCAATGTTGTTTTGATTTGCATTTCTTTTATGGCTAGAGAGGTTGAGCATTTCTTCATGTGTCTATTGGCCATCCTTCTTTCTTTCTTTCTTTTTTTGGTGGTGGGGGGGTCTGGTCGTGGGGCCTGAACTCTGGGCCTGGGCGCTGTCCCTCAGCTCTTCAGCTCAAGGCTAGCGCTCTACCACTTGAGCCACAGCGCCACTTCTGGCTATTTTTCTTTTTGCTTATGTGGTGCTGAGGAATGGAACCCAGGGCCTCAGGCATGCAAGGCAAGTGCTCTGCCACTGAGCCACCTTCCCAGCCCATGGCCATCCTTCTTTCTGGAGGATCAAATTTCTAATTTTACTTGCATATTGAACCAAAAAAAGAGAAGTAAACAAGCTTTTTTTTTTTTTAAATACCTTCTTAGCTTCTTCTCCATTCCTTAGAGGCAGGTGGTATAAGGAAACCATCTACCTTTTCAAGCTAAGGTCACATCCAAAATGGGATCTTATTCTCTGTGCTGTGGAGAATTTCCCAAAGCACTTAGCATCTGTGAGTCTCCATACGTCCCTCTGGACAATGTACACGCAGAACTTACCTTGAACAAATGTCATTCAGGTGAGGGAGAAAATGGAAAGCGTACTGATTGTTATTCTTGGAGTCTTAACTCCATTTATGTATGTATGTATGTATGTATGAATGTATGTGTGTATGTATGTATGTATGTATGTATGTATGTATGTATGTGTCAGCCTTGGGGCTTGAACTCTGGCCCTGGGTGCTCTCCCTGAACATTTGGGCTCAAGGCTAATGATCCACTACTCAAGCCACAGTTCCCTTACGGCTTTTTGGCAGTTAACTGACTCTGAACGCCAGCTGACTCTGAACCACAATTACCACAATCACAGTATGGTGATCTTATTATTATTTTACAAACTTTAAACAGCTATTGTGTCTAGGCATGATACTCCGGTGTGGAACAGGAAGATGCACTAGTGGCTCAGCTAAAAAGTGATGTTCGGTGGCGGAGACACAGCTTGCAGAAGGGGTCTATCCAGGAAGACTTCCTGGATAAGGAAAGGCAGGAGTTCAGAGTTGTAGGAAGCAGAGGGGCTGGCTGAATGAAGAGGAGGAGAGAGGTGTTCCCCGCACAGCTGAGAGGAAAGGGAGCGACAGGGTTCTGCAGCATCCTTCCACCCCTACACCTCCTACGCCGCTTCCAAGAAAACAAAACACAGCCAAAACAACTCCTGGATGGCCCCCCCTCTACCACAGACAGATTGAATTGTCGCAAGCCAGAGAGATTTACCAGACATTTCTCCATGAAGACGATGATTCCAGAGGGCAGGGGCTTGGTGGAAGCCCTCTGCGGAAGGAAGTGTGTTGGTGTTCACGTCAACTTTTGAACCGCCCTTGCTACAGGAGACCAGAGTGGGAAAATCTAATATTAGCTTCAGGTTCAGCCAGAGCTCAGACCTTAGATTCGGGTTTTAACAATCTCCTTGAGTCAAAGCTCATTTAAAATGAGGCGTAATCCGTTTTCTTGAGTTCCAGCCTCGCGCATCACCCTGGGCCGCGGGGTTTGTCTGCGGGGAGGGAGCGCCACCAGGTTTAGAGCTGACACGTGTGAGGTTGAGGGCAGAGAAGGCAGATTTCATGTTTTCACAGCTGCTGTTGACATTCTTTAAGTCCAATCACTAGGACCTTGGAAGGTCAAAAGCCAAGAGCTAGCTCGTGTGATTGCTCTTTGCCTTTCGCCAGAGCTGTTTGATTGGTCCCAGGAAAAGTGCACAGGCTAAATACAGAGGTTTCAATGTCCTGCCCTCTGTCTTCCTTGCTGTGTGTCTTTCCAGACACAGCCAAGAAGGGTCCATGGCAACAGGAGGTAGCTGGGCCGGGCTCCGTGGGGTAGAACTGCTCCGTGATCGGGCAGTGCGGTCGCCTGCCCATTTCTTTGCTTTCTGCATTTCACCCACAAGAGTGGTTCCCAGGCAGGCCGTGGTCCCTGTAACACAGGACGCTGATAGCATGTGGGATCTCGAGGCTCTGTCTTTAACCGTCTCTCTCTCCCATCCTGTCTTTTTGCTTCCCCCAGGAATCATTACTGCCAGCACACCACCGCGGCAGGGGGAACGAAGCACTATTACACCCTGACCTTCTCCGTCACCTTCCCACACAGCGACGATGACTGCTACCTGGCTTACCACTATCCCTACACCTACACTGCCCTCATGGTAAGGCGCTGTCCTGCCAGGCACAGGAAGGGATCCCTGAGGTTTCCTTGAGACCTGGGCACGTTGGATGGCGGGGGGTAGGGAGGAGGAGAAATAATTGCCTTCCCTGAGGGATTCAGGCTTTGCCATCACAGACCTGGAACTCTCTGCGCGTCCCCTGGCCTTCCTGAGACAGAGCGTGAGGCCGACTCAGGCCGAAGGGTCATCTGAAGGCCCAGATTGTCCACACGTGGATGGTGGGAGATGGGGGCCTGTCTGAGGGGGAGAGAGAGCTCTGTCTCTGAAAGGTCCTCAAGTTAAACGCGAGGCACACGGGCATTGAAATGGAATAAACCCACCCAAATCTGAAGAGCTCCTCACTGAGCAAGCTCGAGCAGAAGGCAAAAAAGACGCATGGAAAATCTCCCGAGTCTCTCTGAGCAAGCAGCCACTGCTGCTTCTCCAGTGGATCCGTGGCTATGGCCCGGAAGCTTCTGGAAGGATCCAGGGAGCACAAGAAGGGTGGAAGAAGAGCACACAGACCCACTGGCCCGTTGGCCTTTCTAGGGAAAGAATAATTCAGACTCAGCTCACATCCTTATGTTCTGGAAGGCTCTACCAAAAAGTCATCCGAGGCAGTTTTGAGTAAACAGATGGTTTGTGTCACGTGTTTTCTGTCGTTTTTTTAAAAAGTAAAGAGAACGATTGCTCCTCCCTCGCTCTCTCATGGGTATCCTGAGGAGGATTAATGACCTACCATATCTTCTACCAAATGCTTTTATCCTCTGTGTTAATGCCAAATGTTCTTAGTGTATGCATAATGATATGCGCATGTGTGTGTGTGTGTGTGTGTGTGTGTGTGTGTGTGTGTGTGTGTGTGTGTGTGTGTGTGTGTGTGTGTGTATCACTTAGCCCAGAGGCGGACCATTTTTATTTTTAAGACTGTGAAAAGGAGTTGGGAAAGATAAAAACCCTGAACATTCTCCCCCTTCAAAAGGAATGTTCAGGTATAAATAGAAGTGTTCCATCTTCAACCAACCACTTGGCTAATCGCTGCATGGAAATACATCTGTCCTTCCCTCCATATGTTATTTAGCCTGGAGAGAAAGTTCTACGGTGTTTTCCCAGATTGCCAGAGATACACAACTGGTATTATTTGTGTACTGAGAAAGGGAAGAGCTCACAATGTTAATGAGAGAAAGGCATATCACGCTGTACGCTGAAACAAGCTGTGTGGGTTATAAAACATTTGTTGCCTTTGGAGAGAGAGTGAGGGAATGAGCAGGCCAGACTCACGGCCTCCTTCCACAGCTGTCTGCATGGTCTGGCCGTGAGATCCTGCAGGTGAAGAAGTGTGTTTGGGAGAGGACTCCGTGCAGAACACGTGTTTTGTTTGCCTTTTCCGCTGGAGACAGGGACCCAGGGTGTTAAGACATCACTCTTGTCAACGGTTAGCATTTCTTAGACCCTGCTGAGATTCTTGGCGACAGTCTCACACATTAGAATTCAAAAGGAGCTTGGAAACGTCGTCTCCTTCGCCCTTCACACGCACAGATGCAAAAACCGAGAAGGAAAAGTCCCACATCTGGCTAAACGGCCACCTGAGAGAACCGAACACCGGCCCGTCTCTGGTGTTAATTTCTGGAACCTTTTCCATTCCACCACAGGGAAGAAGAGGTTCTGCTTTGGGAGTCGGCTCCGTGAACGTGTCACTGCGGCCGGATATGATAGACACTCACACGTGCTTTCAGTTGCACAAGCTTGTGTTGTCCTTGAGTTACGGGACATCTCTACACCACCCACCCACGGGTTCCATGTGCAATTCTGGGGATAATGGTCGTTGCCAAACACTGTCTGACTCTTAACCCCAAGCTGTTTCTAGTGGATCCTTGCTGGGTGTCTGCACGTTGCTTTAAAGCCTGTAACTGTTTGGTGGAGGCTGGATCTTACTTGGATGTCTTGCTGCCTCTTTGTAGGTTGTGTCACACAGACCAGAGCCCAGGATCTAAAGTTTACAACAGATAACTAAGCAAACTTGGGAACCATTGAGGTCAGAGGGAAGATACTTTTGTCTTGAAGTGAAGAGAAAGCACCAGAAAAGAGATGTCTTCCAAATGGTTCTTCATTCTGAGGTGGAGGAGAGAGGGCCTGGTCAATTTATCTTTACTGCCTTGCGATTTTGCCTAGTGACTAGGGATGTCTGAGGAGTTAATGAGAAAGGAAGACAAGACACGGAATGCTTCCTCCTAAGTGAGTAGAACAGGGCTGGAAGGACATTTGGTCACTTGGAAATGAATTGTGTGTGTGTGTGTGTGTGTGTCTCTGTAACTTCTCCCAAAAGTCCTCCTCTCACCACAGACAGAACAAGCACACTGTGTAATGCACACTACTCATTTTTTAGTTCTGGATGTGTCCTGAGGAGGAACATTTTATTTTTCTTCCGACAGATCAAGTGATAAATGTGAGTGGCACCCTAAGGGCAGAATTAACAGTATGCTACTTGAGGGTTAGGCTAAGGGGTGAAAAACACATTTCCACCTGGAATTCACAATTTGTAAATCTCTTAGGATGTGGATTATCTTTAATGATGGCCGACATTTTTGTAGCAGAGAAGTTCTTCAACGGATGTCTTTCACTGTGAATAGTTTTGAAAACTTAAAAAAAAACCCTTAGTATTCTCTTCTAATGAAGGAATTAGTATTTGGTTCTTTCAAATTAATATCTTCCAGATGCTTACCAGTTATTTCTGTTGGATAATTGTCCAAATTACAGCATTAAAATCAAGCGAAGAGAAATGCAATATTATGATCGTTCTGCAGCAAACAAAAGGAATTACATTTTAATCAAGCACCTCGAGGTACTGGTAATTGAGATGATGGTTGAAGTGTTGTCGGTACTATTCTTCAAGGGACCAGGGTTGTGTTATTGATAATAGCTGGTAGTATTGATAGAAAACTGGGTTCTAAGACAGTTTTCGATGGATACCTGGGAGGTAAAGAAATGGCATCTCACTGAGAACTTCTCACTGCGTAAATTGGCCAAAGACAAGGAAAGAGGTTATCACACTTGGAGGGCTTGAAGCTCTTAAAGGGTTGGGCTGGGATTTGGGGATTTACCAGATGCGTGCGTGCGTGCCTGCGTGCGTGCGTGCGTGCGTGCGTGTGTGTGTGTGTGTGAGAGAGAGAGAGAGAGAGAGACAGAGACAGATAGACAGACAGACAGAGACAGATAGACAGACAGACAGACAGACAGATAGAGACAGAGAGAGGAAGGCCATATGTACAATATGCTATAAGGGATTCAGAATAAATGGTTGATGTGTCAAAGGAAAATACCGGCTTAACATGTGGTAGATCAAAGATACAATGAGCAGGTTGTGAATCAACGTTGTCAGGTAATCAATAGACAGACAGACCCTGACGTGGTACAGAAGAGAAGGGAGACACGGGTGAAGGTGGTGGACATGGAGGAGCCGGCGCGAAGTCTGTTCTGCGGGAGCTGTGTTGTGTGGGAGACAGGAAGTGCTCTGTCAGGGGGACATCCCGCTTGCCCGGTCTTGAGCCCAATGCAAGGACAAGTTCTGGAATCAGGTGGACCTGGGTTTGAGTCTCGGCTCTGAGTGTCCATGCTCTGTAACCACGGGAATTCTTTTTCATGTGTTTTTGGCCCTCACGGCTAGAGGATGCAGACATAAAAACATTAAGTATAGTGTTGTTATGAAGACTGATTGATTGATATGTGGAAATGCCTGTCTTCATTATGCGGTAGTAGATGCTAACCAGTAGATCATTTATTAGCTTTAAGATTATTTTCCCTCTTGGACTTAATGGATACACATTGCACAATGCGTAATAAAATTGGAAGTGCACAAAAATCCAAATAAGACAGAAAAGAAGTAAATGCAAATGTTCCTGGTGGTTGCCTTAGGGTGGTTGATTACCATTACTTTTTATTTATTCATTCTTCCAAATAATCAGTCATAAAGCTTTTATTTTTAATGGGAAAAGTATTAAGTTATTTTCCTTATAGTTGACAAACCTGTGAGCAGATATCTGTAGATTCATTGTCTCATCCATTCTTTGTTGGCAGGGGAGAGGTGTAGATTCATTGTCTCATTCATTCTTTGTTGGGGAGAGGTATTGGCCTTTGAACTCACGCTTGGGCAAGTGTCGTACCCCTGGCAGATGGAGTCACGCTTTAGCCTGGGATCTACCTGAGACTGATTCGCTTCCCCCGGCCTCCTGATAACTGGCATTGCGGCTATGCCCGCCATACTTGGCCAGGGCCTGGTAGTCTACTTGCCAGGCGATCTGTCACAGAGTTACACGTCCAGCCCTACTCAATTTTAATCATTTGATATCAGATGCCTTCAGCAGGCTGTGGCCTGTTTGTGACATCATGGAATAATGATGATTATTTTTCTTAACATGGTTGAATTCTTAAGACTCTTGTGGCTATAATAAAACCAAGGAACAGAGAGAGAGAGAGAGACAGACAGACAGACAGAGACAAGAGAGACAGAGAGATGGAGGGAGGGAGGGAAGGAGAGGAAGAAGGGAGAAACAGGAAAAGAAGAAGAGAGATGGGAAAAAGGGAGGGAGAAATAGAATGAAGGCTATTAGGAGGGAGGAAGCTGGGGAGAAGAAGGCAGAGAGAGACAGAGGGGGCAGAGAGAGAGAAAGAGAGAGAGAGAGAGCACAATCAAATGCTAACTCACAAAAGCAATTCACCAAGATGGTGTTTTCTAGCCACGCTCTGTAGCACCTTAGTTTCTTGAGGTCTTTAGAGAAAAAAGTTTATCAGTCGTGTAAATTTACGAAGCACATGTGTTTCCACACTGCGTGCTGGCTCATCGAAGCACCGGAGAAATCCTGCAACCATGGAAGTGTTTTCACGATATTTGACTCACCATTTCCCAAGTGCTCTAGCCGTGAATGGTCTGTCTCCCCCATACCTCTATCCATACCCCAGCCCTTCTTAGCATCAGGTCCTGCACGCTAAGGTACACTGCTCCAGTGGTT